CAGGAGCTCAGGAGCTTCCCCCGACTAGGTCACAGCTGGGACAGGGGACTCCAGAGGACCTGGGAACCAGCCATGAGAATTCACACAGTGGAGAAGCAGAGAGGGCTCCCTAACCTGTGGGGCTTACCCGCCGCCCTCCGATTAGGCTTCTGGACACAGTGCAGTTTATCCCAGGGATCTGCATTTTCTGACAGCCTTACCTTCAGCTTTGGTTTGCCCCGGTTCTGCTTACTTCCCCAGCTAGGGGGGATGAGTTAGACCTGAAGTTATAGGGTCACTCGAATTAGAAAAGGTCTTAGAAGGTGGAGCGTTGGGGAGCACACCTACAACTCCAGAACACAGAAGGCAGAGACAGCAGATGGCTAAGTCTGAGGCCTGCCTGACTTATAGAGCAGTCTCCGTGTGAGACCCTGTCTGAAAGTGACGGCATGGGAAAAGCACTTAAAGAGAGCTTACGAATTACCAAGGTCAAGGGGAGGGGAGGTGACCGCCCTCTTATCCATGGTCACACAGCATAGGCTCTGCAGAGCTGATAACCCCAAGATCTTGGCATTGTGTTGTGAGACTGCCCAGAAAGCTTGCTTCCTGAGGAAGACAGATTTGTTACAAGAAACTGCTTGAGCCGGGCAGTGGTGGCACACGCCTTTAATGCCTTTAATCTCAGCACTCGAGAGGCAGAGGCGGGTGGGTCTCTGTGAGTTTGAGACCAGCCTGGTTTACAAGAGCTAGTTCCAGGACAGCCTCCAAAGCCACAGAGAAACCCTGTCTCAAGACTCCCCCGGAAAAAAAAAAACTGCTTGAGATTCATCATTGCAAAGCTCCTGGTGCTAGGGCCTCCCGCTCACCCACCGCTTCCTCCTCTTCTCCCAGCCTGGCTGCCTCCTTCATCCCAAACCTCTAGAATATTCAGGTGTAATGCTCTATTCTTCAGGAACCTTTGGGATGACCACTTGCAGTCAGTTCTGCAGGGAAAACTTCCTACCACCTGCCTCCCTCTACCCCTCCCTCTCCCCCTTGTTCATGCTCCTGCCCAACGATGGAACTGCATCGTGTCTGCATTTTTGCATCTTTGGAGCATTGCACTTGGCCAGGCTACCAGACAGTTCCCTATAAATAGCAGTGTACTTAAAACAAGCCAGTAATGTGAGACTTCAGTCAATGCGCTGTTTGTGGGGAGGTCAATAACCCTGGAACACATTTTGAGGCAGGCTAAGAAAAGAATGTGGCTGTTTGCAGACAACGGAGAGACTGCTCCAACATAAATACTAGCCATACAGAAATTGGCTGTCCTGTATTACAGTCCGAGTGCTTCCGAGTGCCCGCTCTTCCTGCCACAAATGACCTAACGGTCTATAAGATCTCTGTTTCGACTCCGAATCCCTCACAAGCCCAAACAGTGCCCGCCTCTCGTGTTTGAGGTACCGGCTGTACTCATAAAAATTGAACTTCTGAATACTGCAAAGGCCTCACCTAGGAAAGAGAGTACCAGATGTTTCCTTTGACTTTCAAAAACTCTGATCCTATTGATAACCCCACTATCGATTATTGTCACAGTGGTGTTTTACAAATCATCCTAAAGATTAGGGACTAATGCAGTCACCTACTGGTATTTCCTATGGGCTCACAGGCTGAGGCTGGGCTCCACTGACACAGTAGTCTGTTGGAGAGGAGGAAGTTAAATCTGAGATGGCCTAGCCCGGCGCAATCTATCCCCACACTGGTTTTTGTTTCCCAGCATCTGGCAACTCTGACCATCACGGGTGGAGACGAAGTGGCTCCAGAGTGAGTGGAAACACCCATGACCTTTAGACAACTGGGAACCCGTTAGACCTAACAGACGGTGCTTGACTGGTAAGAGTGAGTCACCGTGCCAGTCCCGAGTTCAAGGGCCAGGGAAATCAATTCCAAACCTGCATGGAAGGAGCTAGGGAGACTTGCAGGACTGTGTTTAGTTTTACAGTCTCTCTGACAAGTAATTCCGATTTTAACGTGAAGAAATGAAGCAGCTAAAGCTGGATTGTGGTAGTGGGGGCAGGGCTGTAAATTTACTAAAAATCATTGAACTTACAATGTAACTTTACAATGCTGGAATTCTATGAGGTGTAAATTATCTCTTATCAAAGCTGCTGGGGGGGCAGGTAGAAATACAAACTTTAAAAAGTTATTGGATAACATTCAACTTAGAGCTGTCCAAATCTGGATTGAAGATCAGGTGTGTCCATCTCTCTCTGCCGAAGTATCGTCATCATAACTAAAGTTTCCGAGGGAAACTGTACCTCGTTTCTTCCATAATCTGAAGCTGCAGGGAAAGCCCATCCCCTTCCCCCCTTGCAGTGTTAGGAGTCTGGGCCCCTAAGACCTAACCCCCAGCTTCTGAGGCCAGAGAGTTTCCTTGCATTGCCACACACAGATTCCAATATGTAGGTCTCATTTGGGACTGCATCTGTCCTCTGTGGGTTCAAATCCCTGACACGATGATTCTGGGAAGGAGAAAATTTCTTTTAAGAGGAGGATTGTAGGATGTGATTTTTTTTTTCCTCTTACGGGCATCAAGGGGTCTATGAGCTTGGTGAACACATGAGAAAGGCCTGGTTTTATCCTGTAATTTGGATCTGTTTTTGAGAGAGAGAGAGAGAGAGAGAGAGAGAGAGAGAGAGAGAGAGAGAGAGAGAGAGAGAGAGAGAGAGAGAGAGAGAGAGAGAGCTGTTCCAAGGAGGCGGGGCACCCCAGCTCTCAGTCAGCACAGCTTTGAAGGGCAGATGGAGAGGCTTTCATCTGCCACACACAGACGACATCAAACCCTGCCCGAGAGCCCCTCGCTGCGCGACAGGCAGGGTCAGGGTGCCGCTATCAGAAAGCTCTTTCAAGATATTATAAACTAGAATCGGAGGCATAAAAGGAGCCAAGGAGGAAGGCCATGAATAAGATGGTGAGGGGAAGAGAGACACCAAGACCTAGAGGGAACAGCAGGGCAGAGGAAGAAAGGAGAACACAGGGAAGGGGTGGGGCGCAGGGGGAACAGGAACAGGCGGAGTCCACATTGTGATAAGACAACACCTTACTTAGAGCAAGGCAAGGCAGGCGCAGACAGCAAGGGCCGGTCAGAAGCAGGAACAGAGAACCAACCTTGTGGGTGGGGGTGGGGTGCAACCCGTGGCCGCCAGCACCCTGAAGGTCGGCAGGACCTTTCTTGCAATTCAGCTAGAGCAACTTAGCCTTGACCCAGAGGGGGGGGAAAGGAGATCCCAGGAGAAGCAGGCACTGTAGCTGGCTTACACACTGAATCTCCGTGCAACATGCGATCTTTACCTCCCACAAAGCACTGTGTAGTCATCCTCATCACCCCCCCAACATACACACACACACACACACACACACACACACACACACACACACACACTCAGGCTCGAGTAAAGGACATCATCACTAGAAGCCACTGACCAGCCCAGTCCCTTCCAGAGAGATTTCCCTTCCCGTGCTACACAGATGTCAGACATCAAGTATCAGCTAAGACCATACATACATCTGCCTTCTTGGTAGACCAAGTCTGGTTTTTTTTCCCCAACTAGTTGGAGGGAAAAAAACTCATCCATCCGTGGGTCAAACCGAGCAAATATCCCCATCTCTGTAGAGGACCTGGCTCTGTCCTAATCAAAAAGTTAATGGTCTGGGTGCCCGAGTACCCCATGTGGAGCTCCGGGGAGACCAGTGCCAGGCAGAGGCCATCAGGTGTGGGAGAGGGCTTAGGGGCACCGAGGAAGAATGTGAGGATTGGGGGGGGGGACTTCCTCCAAAGCAAACTCAGCTCATGTCACGTTCATCCCCAGGAGAGAGACTGAAAATAACCAAAGCTGGATGAGGGGGCATTGTGTTCTGGAGGTAGCCTACCCTGGGTTTACCCGGCAAACTGACACGATACTAGGAGCAGTTTTGAGAGCAGCTCTCAATACTGAACCTGGGGAGTTCAATGAAAACTAAGGGCGTAGTAAATGAGTTCACCGTCTTTTACATATGTCATTTTATCAATCCTCAGAATGAGTCTACCAGGCACATTTTTCTCATCATTTCCCACTCACTAATGAGAAGTCACAGGCTCAGAGAGCAACTGGCCAAAAGTCACAGAGCAATCTGGTGGCAGAGTAGACACCTGAGTTATCACTGGCCAGGAGCCGGTCTAAGCTGGACCCATGCTTCTCCACTGCTCCAGTAGCCGATGTCACAGAGGAAGATCTTTCCAGCCCTGTCTCTACTTGTGAGCAGCATGCAGGAGGGGAAGGGGCAGGCTAGGGTCCAGGCTGGGAAGGGATCAGTGTGAACAGGGTAGCAGCAGATCCAGGTCTCAGAACTGAAGCTCCTCAAACAATGGGGCAATAGCTTGTTAAGACAGAGCTGGGAAAGGCATGACCTGCATCTTGCCATTTCCCTTTATGAAAGCTAAAGGCTGGAAAATTGAGCATAATTACCCTGCGCCATCGGCACTTAATGACCCCACCTCTCACACAGACCAACACACGGCAAGTGACTCACCAACATGAATGACTGCCCTATCCTCCCAACTCTAGCATAAGCGGCCCTCCCTTTCTGCCCCGTAGAGAAGGGTCAGAACCCAGGCAGCACTCAAGTCTCCCCACCACTTACTTACTACCTGTTAACTTCTTTCACAAGTTTCTTCACCTGTAAAATGGGAGCCACTAGGATAATGTTAAAGGATTCTTTGGGCTGGGGGCACAGCCCAGTCAAAAGAGTGTCTGCCCTGTGAGCATGAGGACCTGAGTTTAATCTTCAGAACCCATGAAAAAAATGAAAGAAAAAGTCGGAGTGGTGGTATGGGCTTATAACCAGTCTGTGCTGGGGGCTGGGGAGACAAGCAGAATGCTGAGCTTCTATAACCAGCCAACCTAGCCTGCGTGGCAAGCTCCAGGCCAAAGAGAGACTCTGTGTCAAAAAAGAAAGAAAAAAACCCACAAAAACAAAAAACAAGGATTGACAGGAAGCCATACCTAAGGAAGAATATCTGAAGAATCCTCTGGCCTCCAGATGGGTTTACAAACACATGTACATGCACACACACACACACACACACACACACACACATGCACACACACATGCGCACAAGCATGAGAGAGAGAGAGAGAGAGAGAGAGAGAGAGAGAGAGAGAGAGAGAGAGAGAGAGAGAGAGAGAGAATATAACTCCTAGAAACACAAGACAAATTAAACAGAAGCTACCAGGGTTTTTTTTTTTCCCCACCCCTCACCTTAGCTATATAAAGCCGAAAAAGAGGAAATTGCTTACATAAACACCAGATAGAACCTGGCTATCCCCACTCAAGGCAATAATTACAGAGCTGGCTCGGAGCACAGAGCGTTCCAAGAATGGAGTATGCATCTGAAACAAGTTCATTAAAAACTTGCTTACTCATAAAAGCTACCACCACTGCAGCCTGACAAATGGGAAACACGGCTCCGATAAATAAGAAACTGGCTGTAAACAAGTCCGCTTCCCAGCAGTCCCCGTTGCCTCTCTTCCCGCCTTTCTTAACCTTTTATGGGACCTGGCTGACAAGTCTAGGGAGGTTTTATGTTCCTGTCTGCTCCAGTTTTCTCCAAACTCCACATACGGAGAAGAGCCTCAGGCCTCTCTGCTGGGTCTCCCGGGGCAGAAGGAAGCCCACGTGCTGCTCAGAAAGCCCTGGGTCCATGTCTGTGTCCACTTGGGGACATTGATGAGCCCTCTATCTTCACAGCCTATCCGGAGGGCCCTGAAACCTCAGCTCCTTGTCTCCAGGGGTCTCCGCTTGCGTCTCGTGGGCCAGTGTGTACTTTATTGACCCGGGCTGAAAGGGTCATCTGCATGGCTGTGGAAAGGCTCCCCGGGATGCATGGAGGACAGGATGCTGGGATGACAAGGAAGCCGGATGTTTACTGCCTGGACGTGGCTGCTTAACTTCTCTGAGTCTATAAGTGGCAGTGACGAGGGCCATCTTCATAACACTCCTGGGGAAGGCAAAGGCATCTTTAGTCATGAATCTGCATCTGTGAACCAGGCAGGTGTGGTTTTTAGTCAGGGTTGATTAAGCACTGTGCTTGGGCTCTCTGTCCTGTAGGCTAAGACTGTGTGAGCCGCTCTCCCCGACATGGGCCTCCCTTCAGGGTCTTGAGTCACAATGCAGTCAATGTCGCTGAAACCGGAATGCTCTCAAGGCATTTCTGGGTGCAGCTACAACCGGAGGAACTAGAATGGGGAGAACCAGGTGCTGGACCTTGTACCGTCTCCACCTGCCACCCACACCCTGCCTCACTCCCCGGCTAGAGAGAGGCCAGCGACTCAGAACAGTAGCACTGTGGGGCTTTTCCAGAGCCTGGGGCCAAACAAACACATCAGAAACCATGGTAACCTTACACATTCTTACAGAACAAATGTGCATAATTTCTGAGTCCACGTGCTTCATTGGTCCCTGAGGCTCACCTTCTTGATGGCTACCTTACTAGAAGGTAAAAAAAAAACTATGTATTATCTAGTTATATAAACCAACCCTGTGGGCTATGATGTTTTCCCCTATTTTGTAAAAGGAGACTTAAAGGTAAGTCTTAAGACTTGGAGAATCAGATACTTCCAAAGTCCTGGAGATTCAGTTTTCTGAGTCTTACTATTATGCCCAGGGAGAGCAAAGGGAGAGAAAAGACCTGGCTTGAATTCAAATATGAAGAATGAAGGCATTTAGGCAACAACCCTTTGCTACCACTCTAGAAACAATCATTTTGCGTCCACCGTGTACAAAATCGCATGAAGCGCTGAGGCGCAAAGGTCAGAAGTCTCTAGAAGACTAGGGCGATGTCTCCACCATAGCGCTCTGTGGTTCTTGATGGCTTCTTCAAATAGTGGCTTCAAACCAGTCCCCGATCAAAAAGTAACAGTCTGTTTCCCTGTTGTTAACTGCGGGCTCCATGGCGGATGAGAACAGATCATTGCTCAACATTTCACTGCAGCTCCTGTCTGCACCTACCCCTAATAGGTACTTCCAGCAGTGGGCAAGCCTGCAGTACTGTTAAAGCAGATGCCGGTGTCCACCTTGGTGATCAGATTCTATCTGCCTAAGCTGCCTTTTGTTCATCTGCCTGTCCCCACTTTTGCAAAAGAACAAGGGGTTTATGAGGGGCTGGGTGTCAGTGATGGTGGCCGGTCACACGGTGAGACAGCAGTGCATCATGGGAGCTTGCGTTCCTGTTAGGAGCAGAAGGACCCAGCATGCCCTCCAGGAAAGCCTGGTGACGTCGTGGTATAGCCAGGGGTAAGAGAATATGCTCAGTCAGATTCTACAACTAAAAGGAGAAAGAGTGCATTCAAGTGAATTTTCTCCCCATTTCGATAAAATAATATGCTCTGAGCCCAAGACCTTTTCCCTCCTGTCTGCTGCCCAAAACTCATTTCTCCAGCTGTGATCTAAGCCACCATAAATCCAGCCAGGGTCGGCACAGCTGACACAGTTTTAACTATGAGAGAGCACGGAGTAAATGGTGTCATTATTATCCCCAAGAGCTGTGTGCTGCCTTTTCTAGGGGACAACAGAAAAAAGCAATATTTTTTTTGTCTTGAACATATACAATATGCTAGAATTTTGAAGGACAAGTCCAAGAACTCAAAAGCACAAGAAATCGTCAACCGGAGGAGTAAACAAAATTGAAAGCGAACACTTTGCGTTTGGTTTCATCTGGCTGCCATCCTACCTCAAGTCTGGAGACACTGTTTCTAAATAAAACCTCCCCTGTCCTACCCCCCACTCGTCCTGGCCCTCTCTGTTCTTTATGAGCCTGAGATTAGCTTTCCCAGAGCTAGTGGAGACTTCAGAGGTGAAGGGCACAATCTCTGACAAGACTGCCACCTTTAGGCACCAGCTACAAGCCCAGTCAGAGTGTCCCAGGCCACCTTGGTGGTCACTTGGTTCCAAATTCAAGGGTTCTTATGGCCCCTTCAGGTTCAGTAATTCACTGAAATGGTTCGCAGAACTGAAAAACTGCAAAATGAGAATTATCTAAGTCAGGACCAGGACAATAAAACACACATAGGGCATGGTCTGGGGACCTGCCTCTTCCGTGCCATCTCCCTGTAGCCTCAAGAAGTGCCACCCCTCTCCAGCATGTTACTGAACTTAGCATCAGGATGCTGACCTAGTGTTTAGAGTCTCTCTCGGGGTTTACAAAGACACCACCGGATCACTGGCTAGATGAGCAGACTCAGTCTGCGGCCCCCCTCTCCTGCTGGAAGTTGAACCGTATCAGGTGGACTTGGCACTAGTCCCTCACCACAGCATCCTGCAACTATCTTCAGCTCCCAGGAGTCACCTCATTAGCATAAACCAGGCACCTGTCCCAAGGCTCACCCCGGATGGCGAAGATGCTCTCATCACTTGAGAAATACCAAAGGTTTGTGTAACAGCTCCGTCTCTGAAAATGTGACAAACTATGTTGGCACCAGTGGGGGACAGTTCTGGGTCCCCCCTTTTCATGGATAACAAAACCTGTTGACACTTGAAACCTTTATCTAAAATGTCAATGCGTTTTCTGTCACCTGCTCAAGCTTCCTGTACATGGAATCATCCCTATATTATATGGTGCAGTACAAATGCTATACTGTGTGTCTAGGAAAGCCAGGTAAGGCGTGTGCATGTCTGTTTTAGATGATTTTGTGAATATTTTTGATCCACAGCTGTACCTAATGCATATAGGATCCAGTTATGGAGGGCCTGTGCTTCATTCCGTAGCAGAGGGAAAGGCCTAGACTTTGCAATGCTGAACCTGACAGTCTAGACCCCGTACTGTTAACCTCTCTGAGACAAAGCCTTGCTAACTTCTCAATCTTCATCTTCCTCACTGCCATGTCTGGCCAACCTTATTTTCAACGGCTCCCCATGATGAATTCTGCCTCCTGCCCACATGCTCACTGTGGGCCTTTGCAGAGTAGTAAGTCGAGAAACTCTGACCTGAGGAACATGCCCGGGTAAGACTAGACATACAGATCCTAGCCAGAACCCAGGAGTGACCAGAGTCCGAGGAGATACCTAGGAGTCTGACGAGGAAGGAAACCCAGCCTGTGGCCATGAAGATCCGAGAGCGTTCAGTGTATGGCTTACAGGTTGTCCTTGGAGCAAGGAAGTAGTCACTTCACACTGAGGGCCTGCCAAGGGCCATTTGAGCAGAGCAAGCCGAAGTCAGACATCAGGGGCAGAATGGAAACCAGGAGAAAGAAATGGAGACACAGGTGTAGACGGGCGGGCCTGCCGTTAAAGGGAAAAGCGGCAGCAGCCGGGGGAGGCATGAGAGAAGACAGAGGGCAGAGCCTGACCAAGTGCTGACAAGAAGAAGCTGAGAGAGAGAAAATGAAGCTCGTAGAAAAGAGAGATTACCGAGAAGAGGAGAAGACGAGAAGAGGAGTGGAGAATGGGACCTTGTCCAGTAGGCTGCTAAAGGAGCTGGGGGAAGGAGGGCTTCTTCACAACACACGGCCGTATAGGCAGAGGCAGCTAATGGTTAATGAGTTCTGGGGTGAGGCTCTGTCGGGTGTGTGTGAAAGCAGCAAGCTACGGTGCGTGCACATTTGCTGACAGAGGTAGAGCTGACAAAACTCCCCCCTGGCCCCCACATCCCCTCACCCCCCCCCACAACCACCCAGAAGAGAGACTCAATGGGCTGGGAGTCTCGAACGGCAGGAAACAAATAGTGTGTGTTAACTGAGCAACAAAGCGGGAAGGGGCAGGTTTTCGTCTAAGACTTGAATGTGGGCCAAGAGACGTTGGGGTCAAAGTTAGAACATGTGCACGTGGATTCAGTGCACTGGTAAAAGGGTGAGGGTGATGCAATGGACTTGTTGGGGTCCTGGGAACCCCCAGGCTGAGAGTTGGGTCAGGAGGAAGGATGGATGAATACCAGGTGTTGTGCCTTTGTAAATGGAGAGGATTTGACATAACAAATGGGAGCAAATGGTATAGAGAGACTGCAACTCTTGGGCCTGAGGACCACACTAGACCAGTAGCCTGGCTTTACCACCTATCTTATGAGAGATCACTACCTACCATTCCAGAGCGAGGAGACGTCATATCCAATTCAGACTGTCTGGA